ACTGACAGCACTGATCCTTTTTCTCCTAGTTCCCCTGGCTTTGCACAGTTTCCTTGCAAACTCTTGTTCTTGTAAATTGTTTCTGGTGGGATGATAAATCTCCTCATTACTTTAGGTTGGTCATAAGCAGAAGCCTAGATTTATCCTTTAGATACAAAAATCAAATTATATCTATTAGTTAAAACCCTCTAATGTGCCCCAATGCCCTTAGGATAAAAACCAAAATTGCATGACATGATCTAAAAGAACCTCCATGATCTTCCCCTGCTTACCTCTCAGCTTTGCCAGAGGTACTCATCCTCTCCTTTCTTTGTCTTTCCACCCTGACTTCATCTCAGTTTTCAAGTGCACTAGCCTTAGAGGTTTCCCCATGCTTCCACCCTCACCTCATGCCCGGCTAAATTCCAGTTTTAAGACCTAAAATTAAATTTGGCCTCTGCAGAGAAATTGTCACCAACATCCTGGTCTTCTCTTGCCATGTCTTTTGTTTCAGTCACATCAAAATAAAGTTACCTAAAATAGAAACTCTGGTATTTCTCATTGCCATGTCTTTGTCCTTGCCAGTCCCTCTGCTAGAACTCTCTTTGTGCTTTGTCTGCTCAGATAGTTCCTATTTGCATTTTAAAAATCAAGACAGGATCACCACCTCTTGAAAACTTTCTGCTCTCTCATTTTCCTCCCCAGTCTGAGTTACATATGTCTCCTCCATGCTTCCATAATACCCTCTGGATACCTCCACTACAGTGCTTTTCAAGGTCTATTGCAAGAATTTATTTTCTTGTCCTCTTTAAGGGAGTATAGAATTGGGGGTTTATGTGGTTCTTCTCTACATTTCTAGAGCCTATCAGAGTATCTACCTCTCTTTCAATTTTTTTTTGGTTTGGTTTTTATTTTGATTTGGGTTTTTCTGCAGATGAATAAATGACTGTACAAGGCTCTTGCCCCTGCTAAACACTGATATGAGGATGTGTGGACACTGGTGTTTTATAGGGAGAGCTCTGCCCTTGGAAAAAGGAGTTACATTAATCAAGCAGAACAAATCATATTGGATGCTATGGCCAATGCAATTAAGCCTTTGTCAAACTGCCTGACTTTGGCTCAAGATGAGAACATTGATGAAATGCCTTTCAACTGCCTGGGTTGGGGTCTGCTGAAATGGGCAATTACTGCAGTGAACAATCCATTACTTGTACTGTCAACAGAGTGTTTTTTCTCTCTAAATGCAGAATGAAGTGGAAAATGCTATGGGAACTCAGTGGCATTTAATTTACTGATATGATGTGGTAGGAGCCATTCTTTAACTTGACTGTGACAGCAAGTGTGTGGGGATAAGCATGCAGTTGGAATGCACTGGGGAAGCTGTTTTAAACATCCTGTGCCTCACTCTTTCCATATGTAAAATTAGACTGATGGAAGAGAATGCTTGTCACACCATGGTGGTTACTATGGTGATCAATGACTGAGATGCAATGTTGTACTGCCCCTAGCCATGCCAATTTCTTTCAATTCTGCTTGTTATTCCATGGAGGGAGAAATGACTGGCAGGTCTCATTTTCTTCTTTGAACTGGGAAAGTTGCTAGCTAGGCATGGCTTAGAAAGGTGATCATACTGGCATTTTGTGCAGATAACCCAAGGGCTACTGTGCTGGGATATTCACTCTCAGTGAGGACCTGGGCTGCCCAAACTCTCCATATTGTGGTGCACATAGAAACGTGTATGTAGCACACTGGGGTGAACAGATTAGATGTTTATAGCCAGGAGGGACCTGGCATGGGACTTTAGTTGCCCCAGGTCCTGCCTGGGTGCTGCAAGGGTCAATGAGGTCAGGATCTTGGGTACTTCAGACCCAGTCACGGCACACCAGTCGGGAAGCTCTGCTGAGGGCACTTGGCCACTACAGTGGCTGTATGTCTAGCCAGAGGCTACCAATAAACGTCATCAGATGAACTTAAGCCACGTTACAAGCATGGCTGATTGGAAGGTAATTGTTGGGGGTGAGATGGCTGGTACCAGATAAATATTGTTGCAGAATTCTTATAGTATAAAGACAACTAGTTCTTCCCCGTGGGCCAGAGTTACAAAAGCAGAACTCATTCCTGGCTAATTTAATTAAAACAGACATTTCTGAAAGACTATTAGGCACTTACAGAGTCTCTGGGATGGTACAGTCAGTCTTGGAGACTCTGAAGCCAAGACAGTGCCAAGCCCACTCATGAGATCTCCCTACTACAAATCCCACTGCTGAGGGAAATGGACACTATCCAGAAGGAGGCTGGACAGTGGACACCAGATATGCACCCTGTGCCCAATGATGACTGGCACTGACACCAGATGTCCATCCTGCTTCCCCTGAAAAGCTGGACATTTTCACCACTACCTTCTCTCCCATAAGGATCCACACAGCCCTCATGTTTGTGGATCTTTTTTTGTTTTTTAAGATTTTATTAATTTATTTAGTCATGGGAGACACACATACAGAGAGAGAGAGAGGAGAGAGAGAGAGGCAGGGACACAGGCAGAGGGAGAAACAGGCTCCATGCAGGGAGCTCGATGTGGGACTTGGTCCCAGGTCTCCAGGATCAGACCCTGGGCTGAAGGCGGCACTAAACTGCTGAGCCACCCGGGCTGCCCTGTTTGCAGCTTTTGAATGTAAGTCACATCACACACAGGCATGTCTGTTCCTAGCATCTAGGTCATGTGTCTGCACTTATCTACAAGGTGAGGTGAACCAGCAGGCTCAGCCTTCTACCATGACGAGGTGGGATTCATATACAGGATGCAAGCCCCATGTAAGGACAGTGATCCAAACCACTGTGGCATGTGCCCATTACACGTTGCAAAGCCACATGTCATTGTCTTCACCATAAACCAGCCCCTCTGGTTTCTTTAGGCTGGTGATGCCATTGTCATTCTCCTAATCACTGGTCCAGAGCTTGCTTCGGCAGCACATATACTAAAATCCCAGTCACTTGTCCAGAAACTGGGCAATTGGACTTGGTTCCTTGCCCTCCCTGAGCATTAGCTTATTTCTAAGTTATAACCATCTGCCTCCTAAATATTTTGTCATTTGTCTCAATTCTACAGCCTCACTCACTGGGTCTGGGCCCCTTGAGACCTCTCACCTGGGGACAGCAACACCCTTCTAGTGGCTCCCAATTTCAGGGTGCCCCTCACCAATTCTTCCTCCCTACCATGCCTGCAGATATTTGGTAAAGTGCCATTCCTCTTGTGTAAAACCCCTCAGTGGGTCCCCATAGCTTTCATGAGAGAATTCAACGCCCTAGATCCTTCATTAATAATTTATATTTACTTTTTGGACTCTCTTGCCCTGAGTATTACAGTAATATTCTTATTCTCTAACAGAAGAGAAATAGCTACATGTACTGAATATAGACTAGATACACCATGCTAGACAGTCCTCACATGATGCCCCTGGAGGTAAGTGCCATTTTACAGAGGGAGAAACAGAGGCAAGCAATAATAATGGTGGCTCAGCCCCCAAACATAGGTCTCAAGCTCATGCCTTCAGGAAGATCTGCGTTTACTCTGTCTTCACTGAATTGCTTGCACCTGGTTGCATCCTATGTGCATGTTACTTCTGTTACAGCATGTTATTTCTGTTCACTTGACTATTCCCTTCCTCCTGCTTCAAATGGCACCCTTCTTGGTTTCCCTACCCAAATTACTTTGCTGCTTATTCTGGGATCAACCTCCTCTGAGGAGCCTTTCCCAGCCTCCCCCATCACCCAGCACCCCACTTGGGACCCTCCTCCATAGCACCCAGAGTCCTCCAACCTGGTGGCACCACCTCTCTGGCAGTGTGTGGGAGCTGAGAGCAGGGACAGAGTCCTGTTTTGTCAGGGGGAATGCTGACTGAAGTGGCCTATCCCCTGAAACATTCAGGGTTCTTCCTGTCATATCCAGCAGTCCTTGCTGCCGCGTGCCAGCCCACACGAGAGTGGCACCAGCACGGGGAGGTGAAGGCCAAGTTCCCCAGAGAATGGCTGGGTGGGCGTGTGGACAGCCACCACCTGCCCTCTTGTCCCATCAGCCGTGACTCGGGAGAAAGTATGGCCCCTGAGGTGCTAAGTATTATCTCGACTTTTCACACTTGAGAAGGTGCCTTCTGGAGCACTTCTAATGGGCCATCTCCTGGCTGGCTAGATTCTAAAAAATCATGTATTTTATTGCTCCAGAGAATTGACACTTTTTGTCCTTTAAGCCTTACTTTGAGAAGAAGAGAGATGATTTCTGAGAGAATAAGGTTGGGAGCAAGAACTCTGTCATTCAAATGAAATTCAGTTACACCCCTGCCCCACCTCTGTCCTGGGTTCCTGCACTGCACGGTGACACTGTCGCTGGCTCTACAATTTGGGAAGGTGCTTGGTATGGGCTCCCAGGGGCACCATGAGCCAAGCTTCCCCACTTCCTCAGGACTCAGCGCTAAGTGTTCAAGCCAGTTGTGCTGACCTTCTCTAGGCCTATAAGGTCCACCCCATAATATCTTTTCATCTCACACTGTCCTGGGAACAACTGGATTTTCCATAAACTATGTCACCTTGGCTATTGATAAGGCTGCCATAAAGGTGAAGGTGTCAGTGACCATCACTGTGTCTAGCTTCAAGGCATTTCGGAGAAGGAGCTCTCTGGCTCTGGCTGGTGGGCGGCTGCCTCGCCGGGCAGCCCCCGTGTGCTGGGCACCTGGAAGGCCGGGGCGGTGGGCCCAGCCACTGGAGCCAGTGTTAATCTCATTAGACCATGCAGTCCTCTTGCTACAATGAAGTATATCAATATTTGGGAATTTTCTAACCCATTTCAGCTGTCAGGACAGGGTAATATAAGTCATTACACTTCCTGGAGATTAGCAGAAGCTTATGATCATGATAAGCAAATACAACTTGCCCAGTCTTGGACTGCTTTAAACCTGGGTCATAATATTTCTCCTGAGAACCCCTTGTCAACTTTTCTTCCAGACTGAGACCTTAGGAGCAGCACATACCTGTGGGGACGGTGCCCCGGGCTTGGCTGGTGGCCGGCTGGGCTGTGTGCCGCAGGCAACTGCCCGTCGGCGGAGAGGCCGCCTGGTGCTGGGCCTGGGGTGTGGTGAGGGGAAGGGCTGGCCTTGTGGCAGTGGCTGGGCTGCTCAGACTTCCACCACCTGGGTGGATGGTTGTGGCCATCCCTTTGGCCAGTGGAGACCCTCCAACGACATTATTCCGGGGTGGCCCAGCCCCTCCTACAGGAGCTCTGAGGAAATAAAACAGAGTCAAGTCAGGTGAGGTCACAGATGAAACCACACAATACAGGTTGTTAATAAAAGCCCATTCCTACTTCCTAGCTCTGAGAGATGAAGGCCGCACAGCCCAGGGCACAAATACTAAAACAATGTCAAGATGATCCTGTAGGCAAACGTGCCCAGAGCCCAAGCTTGGCAGTGGAACACTCTTTACAAAACCCTCAGGGGGCTAACTTTCAAAGTAAATAGTTAAGAAACAGCAAAAGAACCCTAAGAATCAATATTAATCAAATATTTTGTACCAGATTCATTCTAAAAAACAGTTGTGTCTGTCCTCACACATCCAGAAGGAGCGGATGACTCAGCCACATCCCACAAGGCTTGGACACCTCTGGCACATGGTCAGAAGCAGGGCAAGGACCCACTTTCTGGACATGGCCTCTGGGAAAGGCCACAGCCATGGCCTTCAGAGGGATGTCAGGGAACTTGCAGTTTCATGCCTGAAATAGATGACCTTTCACCCCAAGTTTCCAGATGAAACCGATTTACAGTGTTTAAGAAATACAAGAGGAACACAATAACTCTCAAGATGGACTTTAGCCTCTGACCTCCAGGTACGTGCACCAAACTCAGGCACTGGTAGGGAGCATGAACCATGGGGCAGAGTCTGGGGGTCAAGTCCCCTTCTGTTCTCCCCGCGTCTCAGGGGTGAGATCCCAGGGGCCACGTGAGGGCGAGAACAAGCCACCAGGCCCATTGGCAGGTGGGCAGCCCCAGCCCGTGTGGCCAGTACCACCAGGCCATGACCTCAATCAGGGGTGGGCTGGCAGCACTAAGTCAAGGTTCCTGGACAAGCACCATGGGAAGGAGGCTCTGGGCAAGGACCCCACTGTCCAGCAGGCCTGACAATTGCTCTGAAATTCGCCTCTAGCCAGGAACTCCATCAGTGGGCCAGCCAAAACCATGAATGTTTTTTAAAGATTTATTTATTTATTTGAGAGAGAGAGAGAGAATGAGCAGGCGGGGCAGAGGGAGAGACTCTGAAGCTGACCCCGTGCTAAGTGTGGAGCCCTATGTGGGGCTCAAGCTCAGGACCCTGAGATCACAACCGGAGCCAGAATCAAGAGTTGGACACTCAACTGACTGTGCCACCCGGGTGCCCCATGAATTTTTTTTTTTTTAATCACATCTGCTACCTGCTGCACTTACTCTTAACCTGGGAAAAAATTGTAAAGACTGAATAAGTATGCTCACAAATCATGAGCCTTCCCAGGAAGCTAGGATGTGATGACGTGACCAGGAGCCCACCTCACGGCCAGCACACCCCTCTGGTGTGTCAATCCGTCTAGCCATCAGGGCAAGGTTGAGGTGTTAAGGGGCTATTTTTCTGCCAGTCCTGCCCCTAGAGAGCAGAAACCCAGGAGCCATTTCTTCATGTCATTTTCTTTTCCTGTAGTTAACCCAGAGCTGTGCCCATGAGAGGTTTCCACGTAAGACTGACAAATAAGACCAACAGTGGACTCCTCATCTTCATAGAAACTTCTCAGACAGCTCCAGATAACCTCTTGAGTAAATTTTTCTATTGTATTTTCTGTTTTACAAAAATGATATACCAGGAAATTTGCAAAAGACAGGAAAGCACAAGGAAGATGAAAATGTTTAATTAGCCCAATGCTGTCACTCAAACTCAGTAGCTTTTGAGAATACATGTGTTTCTTTTGCACATATGCAGATGTGTGTGTTTTATGCACAACAGGTTTGTGTGTAGGACACACACACACATACACACACACGCCTTAGCTGGACTAACACTGGACACACAGGTGCATGCACACACTTGGCATCTCACTCTCCTGGGTGATCTTCCATTTCCATTCCTCTTGCTGCCCTGACTCCAGCTCATCCTCCCCATCCGTTCCCCTTAAAGATGGTTCTGCTGAGTGAATGACAAGCAGAACCTAACTCAGAAGGTGAAAAACTTGCCATGTGGAACCCTTGCTCAAGGGGAGCTCTGAGCTCACAGGGCAAAACCCTGTGGGCAGTGGAGTCCTCGCCCACTTCTGGATGGGTGTTGGGCTTGTGCAGACTGAAGCATGATCTTCAGGCTGTAACCAGTGGCAGGGGGACGTGGGTGGGAGTGCTCCCTCCATTCCCAGACAGCGACACTGACACTGGCCTCACCTGGAGACGGGTGTTACATAGTTTCCTGGGAACACCCCAGAGAGCCCAGTCCTCAGGGACGTCCCCTTGAACCAGCCGTCCTGACATTTCTCTAGGACACGGTACATCTCGCCCTTCCGCAGCTCCAGCTCATCATTCTTCTGGGGCTTGTAAGCATAGAGTGCCAGGTACCTACAGGGAGAAGAGTAGGGCTAAGGATAAGTGATGGCTGGCAGGGGTGGGCAGATGCCATCTGGCATCGCTTAGATTGCATGAGGGCTCATCTTTTGATGAACCCAAGTAGCTGATGCCTGCAGGGCTTGTGTGCACCATGCCTGACCTACCCTTTATGATAAACCACTGAGGGGGTGCAGGGACGGGAGAGCACCCAGCACTGCTGTTGCTCACCTGGAGAACCAGGTCCTGAGAGGTATGTGCAGGGAGGAGACAGGGCTCTGCCTCTTGCTCCTAGAGCCCAGGTCACTCCACAGCTCTGTGCTGGCTGACCTGGGTGGGCAGGTGGTCAGCACCACCTTCCCATCTGACAGGTCAGTGATCCCTCAGGACTCATCCCAGGTCCTGGAGAATAGGCTAGAATTAGATCACTGGTGTCTGGGCCCCCACCATCCAAAGCCTGATGCTCTAAGCCAGAGAAAACTTTACCAGGCAAATTTTGGGCTGGATTTTTCTCATTTCGTCTAACCAGGTGCTGGCCTGCCTGCCTGGTTCATTCAGTCAGTCATTATGAGCTGGAAGATATCCCAAAGGCAGTCTGGTTAGGGGATTCTCAGGTGCATCCTTTCTTGCAGGATTTGTGCTACGACTAATTATTTAAATTCTACTTTTGTCTTAAGCCTATGTGAAGGGAAACCAAGAACAATCCCAGTGGTGTAAATCCTGGCCTAGGGTTTAGAAGCTGTGCCTGTAGTATATGTAGCCCAGGACCCCGGGCCAGCCTCTTGTCACGTATCTAGTGAGACCTCAGTCCTCAACCCCAAAGGGCACTTGTAAGGACTGGATAATACTTGCAAAGTGCTTTGCTACTTTGGGGGTTTGGAGAAGTGGGTTTTAACTTGACAGAACGATATCAGGCAACTATGTTGCTCATAAGATCCAGGAGGAAAGTTGGTGAGGCTTCAGCTCAATGAGAAACAAAAAATGAATTTTAAAGAAGTGTCATCTCTTGGCTCCCCTGGCAGAATGGATGGCTTGGTGGGCACGCTGAGCTCTCCCAGGACCATGGGCTCAGGACCAGAGGCTCTCAGAAGGCTCACAGACCACCTTCCTGACCTTGGGAGGGGCCTTCTCAGGAGGCGAATACAGAAATGGGACTCACTAGGGTTCAAGCAAGAAGGAGGCCCCCTGACTCTCAGAGGCTCAGTGAGGAACATGCTAGAACAGAATGGGAACCTATGAAGATGTCTCGTCTCTAATATAAAGTAAAATAAGGTAAAACAACCTAAAAGCTGACACTCCTCTCTCAGCCCTGCCCCAACACATTACCTGCCTCCGTTCCATTCAGTGGAGGCCTTGCCTGGTTAATGTCCTTTGTTTATAGGTTGACCCCACTCCTCCCTCTTCCCTTAGAGATGAAAGGATGGCTTACATCTTGATTTCTCACTGTTTGAAAAGATAAATGTCGACAACCAGGAAGGACTCTGGGCTTCAGGGATGATAAAGGAAGCTATCACTGGAGGGCCCCCCCTCTTGCTTGTCAAGGGCAGAAAGATTCACGTTCCTGACGCAATGCCCAGGTGACAAAGAGAACCTGGGTGTCATCCGTCTGTTTTCACATCTGATGACTCCCAGGAAACAGGTGTGGTGACAAACAGGAAAGCCACATGACACCTGCGTCTGCGCTGGGACAGCAGCCTGCCCTGTGACCACTTGGGGGCAGCCCCCGTGGGGAGGTGCCCTGGGCCCCAGCGAGGGCAGCATGGACACAACGGGGAAGGAGTGAGAGGGCTGGGCCGTGGGAGGCTGGTGAACAGCAACAGCGACGCATGCCTTTTGTGCCTGCTCTCAAGGAAATGTAATTGAAGCATAAATCCTGTTTGCTTGCCTCCTGTCTCTTCAGGGTGTGAAAACAATCTTTTTGATTCTGTGAGTACACAGTGGCCATGCTGGGGGTGATGGCCCTAGGAGTCTGTGTGTGTGCACGACACTGACCTCAGCAAACAATCACGTGTCCTTGGTTGGAGAGGGAGGAACCATGTGCTGCTTCTGTTCCCCTTGCCCAGCAGGGGTGATGGCACCAGGCTCCTGTCCCCAGCCTGGACAAGGTGCGGGCACTGACATCCATCGCGCCCAGTCCTGGGGCCTGTGCAGAGCCCAGAGGCCCCCGTGGAGCTGTGATGCTGCCGCATGAGGCCTACGAGCAGCCGGTGTAGACTGGCCCAGGAGGAGACCAAGTCCCAAGTGCTTGGGGTGTGTCCTCCCCCTCCCTCAGGGCCACCCATCACCTGGTGTCCTGGAGAGGCTCCACACTGTGCCATCTGCTTGGGGAGGCCTTTTCCAAAGGCTGCTTTCAGGTGAGGAAGTTCAAGACGGCATGGTGTTGGAGAGTGTAAATGCCCTGTGCTTCCACCATCATTTCCCTCTCGGGGGGCAGGTGAGCAGCCCTGAGCACTCGAGTCCTCACGTGACAGATCCTCCTGCCCTCAGCTAGGATCCCAGCGAGAGACAGCCCCCTGCCACCGCCTAGCACACCGACCTCCTGGGGATGGTGAGAACTGGCCCACAGGAGCCCCGTCTAGGCTGAGGGAAGGGGGCCGCATCTACTTGTTTCCACCGGGGCTCACGGCAAACCCTGGCTCAGGGCGGCCTACACCAAGGCACCCCCAATGTGCTACATTTGCACTAATGTTCCCTTCTATCCTCCCATCTGTTGTTCGGCCACCGGCCACTCCCCACTACACGGGATCTTCTACAAGGGCAGAAGTGGGTCCCTGTTCTGTTCACTGCTCTATGCCCAGCATCCAGAAAGTGTCTGGCACAGAGCAGATGCCCAACAAGTGCTTGTTTGATAAAAGAGGATAAAACAGGGGCTCTGGTGTTGGGACCAAGATGAAGACTGCTGAAGGGAGTGTGTCCACGTGTACCTGCAGGCGTGCAGGTGCGTGCCAGAAACCGTCCCCCACAGCCCTGAGGTCTGCTGGCTGACCTCGGACACAGAAACACACGCAAACAGGTGCCAGCCTTCCCCACTCAGGAGGTCAGTACGGAGCTGGGACCAAGCCAGGAGGGGACGGCATTGTGAGGAGGCAAGAAAAGGCATGGAAGATGGGGCTGCGGGATGAGAAGGAGAGGCAGATGGTGCAGACAGGGCAGGGGGCAGGGAGCTCAGCATCTGTCCAACAGGGAGCCAAGCTGCCCTGCAACAACCAGACAGACAGAAGCCAGCAGAGAAGGCAGAGGGCGGTGGGCAGGGTGTGGCAGGTGAGAGGTGAGGCAGAGTGGGGAGGAGAAACAGGAGCCAGAAAGCTTCGATTAAGTTTCCCATCCAGCTTGTCCAGCTCCCGGGGGCTCCAAGAGCCCTCTAAACAGGGCCCATGGGTGCCCACAGAAGGTCCCTTTGATGGTAGCTTCCTCCGTGCCTCTCCACCCATCCTCGCGGCCCTGGGGCTAGGGTGACTTCGTGTGCTGAGTGGAGTTCAAAGCCGCCCAACCATGCCAGAGAGGACAGACCCAGGTGAGTGCAGAGGGACCCGCACCCACCCACCTCAGGCTCAGCGAGTGATGGCCAGCAGCACCCGACGTCCACCGCAGGGGAAGTACGCTGCAAATTTCAAATATAACGCTAGCATCAGCAAGTGCAGTAAACACCCCAGGACCCATTGGAGCTGCTCAACAGTCATGTTCGTGTTCCTGGGGGAGTAGCCATCAAATAACTGAAAGTCAATTATCTTTTGGGAAGGAGCCGATTATCTTACCCTCCACACTTGAAGACCTCCATGCCATTTAACAGAACAAAGACTTGGCATTCCCTTCTCAGCACCAAAGGGGAGCTTCCAGCCTTCCCCATCAAAACAAAAATGGAAAAGAAAGAAAGAAAGAAAGAAAGAAAGAAAGAAAGAAAGAAAGAAAGAAAGAAAGAAAGAAAGAAAATTCTTGATGTTATGGGCCTCAAGCCATCCAGACTAAACCTTTCAAGTCAGAAAAGTCTCCTCTCACGCTTCCACTCTCATTTTAGAGGAGTACACATGGTTCCTAAGGACATAGCAAAGCAGGAGAAAGAGCACCCTGGAGGTGACCACAACCTCCCCGCTACCCGGTCGGTCCTCCCCAGGCCTAGAGCACCTTCCCTGCCCGCACCCACCGCTGGCACCAGACCCGCTGAGGGACAGCGCTCACGAGCACACAGCCGTGGGCCTCGGGTTACACCGTGCCCCTTCATGGGGGGCATGTGGGATGCTGGAACTCACCGCTCCAGGTATTCTGCTCGTCCCACGCTCAGGGACAGACACCTCTCATGTGCTGTCAACGGGCAATACTGACGGTCCCCTCTGAGGGACGCCACGCCACTCTTCAAACACAACCCTGAAGGCTCAAGTGTCAAGTGGCCGATGTCAGGCAGAGCTCCAGGCCACCACGACACCGCGGGCCACCAGCTAAGGCAGGACAGGGCAGGGGTGGGGAAGGGCTGTCTGCTACATGCCAGCCTGTCACGGGGCCTTGCTGAAGCCCCATGTGAACTCCAAGGCCGGGACGACCCCTCATTTCACAGCTGGGGAAACTGAGGCTCTGAAAGGTGGGGGACCTGTTTCTGCAGGGAGTTGGGCCAGAGGGGCTCTGGGGCCCCAGGGCTAGGTGGGGGCCCATGAGGGGCAGTGGGGGCAGCTGGCAGGCCCCCAGGCTGGGCTGGGTTCTGAAGCCGGGGAGCCCCTGGCGCCACAGCACGGGTGTGCGCCGAGTGCTCCTGCGTTTGCTCTGTTCATGGTGATCTGTCCTCCCATCTCAGTCCTTCAAGTCCGGCCTCCAGGTGTGCGCTGCCAAGGGACTAGAATGTGAACAAATCTGACTTCACTGTGGAGGGCCTCTGCTCCTCCCACTTGGGTTTCCTTTGGGGGCCTCAGAGAGAAGAGCAGAAGCAGATGGCTCTGCAGATCGTTTTTCTGCACGTGGTGTCCGCAGAGACCCAGCGTGTGGCTAGTGTGGGGAGAGGCGCTGGTTGGGGAAGGGGGGGATATGCCATTTGACATCTGCTTTCTTTAGGAATGACCCAAGGAAAGCAAGGGATGGACCACACTCAAATGGCGGACGGCCCCGGTCACTGTCAGCCTAATGTCTGCAGCCGCCGGGTCCCCACAGCTTGTCACTCCCTCTCCACCCACGTCCCCTCCACTGGGTGCAGCCAGGACAGCATTGCTGGTAGTCTTGGCACCAGCTGGGTGCTCGGAGCTGTGGGCTGGAGTCTACAGGGACCATGCACACCTGCTATGAAATAGGAGGCGCCCCTATGGTCCTTGTCTTCATGGTTCCCAGGGCCTGTTCTCACTTCTCACTCCTTCGAAAGGCCCTTCAGCTCCACAGCCTTCCACTGACCCCTCAGGGTCATTAAAAAACATGTGGATCGGAGGAGGCTGCTCCTCCAGGCTCAGAAGTCACCTCTACGGATTCACATACACAGGCGGGTATTGAACACACCTTATTTAATGCAATAGTAGGAGAGTCTGGTTCAGAGAGCCTGCTTCCCCACCATCCTGTAGGCTACATGGGCTTTTAGGCTCTAAGGCAACCCTGCTCTGACTTGAAGCAGTCCTGCACGTGTGAGCCCAGGCTGAAAGGTCAGGCCCATGCCCCCTGCCCCAGTACCCTTGGATGCGTGGTGCACACACGGAGGCGACCGTCAGGTGTGGCCAAGCAGCCTGGCATCATGCACCATCAGCATTTCCCAGCAGCCTATCAGATATCTCCAGGACACCAATCACTCCCCTGTATTACTTGCTCATTTGTACAGCAAGGTGTTCACTTGTGTTAATTATCTACAGAGTTTTCTCCAGCCCTAATCAAGGAGTGAATTGAGTATTTTAGTGCCTTCATTAATTTCATACCCTTTCTCGTCTATATGATGGCTTGCTCATGTTTCTTCTAGGATAAGTAAAAGAATCTTTTCAATTATTCCTGTGACGTGTTCTGCTCCTGCTCTTCTGGGCACAACAGCTCAGGTTAGCATGACACATGCCCACTCCTTGTCTGTACCATTCAATGGATGTCTGCAGAATGATGATCAGGTGCAGCCAGGTGGTGGAGAAGGCTGCCCCAGGAGCACCTGCTCTGGGGAAGGGGGGGATAGCCTAAGTGCATGACGGGGTCTGCACAGGATGCTCTGGGGACAGGGAGGGGCACTACCCCTGCTCAGAAAGCCACATAAGTCCTCCATACAATGTGGCAGCTGAGCTGGAGAGGTGTGAGTCAATGCAGGTTGCAGATGGGGCTGCCTGAGGTTGCAAATGCTCAGAGTGGGAGAACAGGGAGCGTTTGGGGAAATGTTACTAAGCCATGGAATGGTTTCATCCAGGAGCTCATCCTGCAGGCAACCCCACTGGTTCTGCCCACCCTCCTGGTCTTTCTGTGGCTCGCACAACGACGCTCCTAGACCTCACAGGTGGCACGCAGGTGCTCACACACTTCAGGAGGCTCCTGGTTTCCCCCAGGGATAAACTACCCATCTGTGTGTGGAAGTTTCCCTCCCAGACAGCCAGCGGCTCTCAGGGCCCACAGCCATGCCTGCCCTTGGCTCACAGGTATGCAGACCTGAACACACTGAGACGAACAGGGAACGGCAGTCTGGCTTATTGGCCCACCTGCCACCCATGCTTCTGCTCCTTCTCCAGCACAACACAGTCCTCAGTAGGGCATCTGGGAGACTGGGCCAAACTGAGGTGGGACTCTGGAGCTGACTCAGCCCCCTCCCTTGCCTGGCCCTCCTCTCCACCCACCCCTCTGGTCTTACCCCCCCAACCCTGGCTCTGCAATGCCTGCATTAGAGGAGAGGCGAGAACTAAGCCCCCAGCCTGAGCGGTGGCCTACTCCCAATGTACCGTAACACGTTAGCCTTGCCAGATGGGCTGTCCCTGACTTGACACTCATTTCCACCCCTGGGAGGCAGATAAAGGGCAGTGAGTCCATCAGCTAGGGGTGGACCTTGGGTACCTTCCCAGCACTGCACAAGTTAGAAGGGAGGGCACAGACCGCACAGATCTGAAGACCAGCAGCCACCTCCATGCACTGGGTATGCAAACTGAGACCCCCTTTTCACGTGTCAGGGCTATCGGGTCCCTCGGAAGCCCATGCCAGTGGACACGTTTATATGCTAGAAGGACATAACAACACCCCACACTGCAGGCTGACCTGAGGGGTCCTGCCTTGCAATCACATGGGCTCGTGACCCCGGCACATGAGCTGAGGTTCGGCAATCACACCCACGTGCCACAGGGATGACAGAATGAGGGCCTGTGGGAAGGATGCTGACTGGCCCAGCCCAGCTCATCGGGCACTCTCCGAGGCCCGGGGGCACTGCTGCGTGCAGGCTCCCTGGCTCACAGAGCATGCTGGCCGCTGCAGCTGTTGTGGTGAAGGCACCACTTCCCACTCTCAGTCTCAAACTTTTGAACATGACTTTTGCACTGTTCTGGGAAGAACGACCAGATAAAGAGCGACCACACTCCCCCCACAGACATCTGTCACTAGGATACATGGCAGGGCTCACGTGTTGGAGCCAAAGAGGATGGGAAGTGGTTAGGCTCATTCCCTACTCCATGAGCTGATGAGGTCAGCTTCATCTCCTCCCTCAGAACAACATGAAAAATGTGACCTCCAAGGTCGTGCTCTCCATATGGATCTCGTACATTGCTACGTGTGGCACCCCCTCCCCTGGTGCTTGTTACACGGTAGAAAGAGCCGCAGAGAGCATACATTTAACTTACAACAGCCAATCACCGTGACGCTGGCCACGACTTATCTGCTGCTCAGACGACCACTGTCACCAGCAGTCACATGCCTGCCAAGATACTTTTCATCTTTTAAGTGACATCATCTGACACATAAGTCTCCCTTCTGTTACTCAAATAAAAATCTCCCTTCTGTTACTCAAATGGGGACTCAGTGCTTTGGGGTGAGGCTGCTAGGGAGAGGGCAGAGGGCTGGGAACAACGGTGGCCTCCTCATCTCCCAGAGCAGAGCAAGGGCAGGAGAAAGGTCACTCCATACTCTATACCAAATTACAAAACCCTCCACAGCATGGAAGGTCTGTGCACAGTTGTGGTTCCCAGTAGGTATTCACAATATTCTTGGACTATATTAGTAACCTTTGTGTCTCGAAGACAGAGCAGCCTTCTTGGTGGCTGACCTAACATGTGAGAGCTGAGGGCTTTGGCCTGACACCAGAAGCCCAGGATGCACCCAGGATGGGGAAGGCTGTGGCCATCAGAACAAGGAAAACGTTACTGAGAGCCTGTGTGCTGGGCATTCATTTGGGGAAACCCCAAAATGAAACCCCTGGGCCTCTGATTTGGGCAGCCACATTACGGCCTAATGGTCTCCTATAGATGCTGGTCATTTCCTTGGGGATTGGGTCCTGCAGTCAGTTCTTCAAGAAGAGCAAGGCCTTCACTACCAGCCTCCTTGACACCCAGGTTTGAGTGGAAGCCCCGAGAGTGCATCAGGACCCTAGGTCAGAAGATAGCATCTTCTGTCCAGGGTGGGTGAAAACCTGAATTTCAGCCTAAAGATACCTAAAGGTAGCTTCCTAATCTCTGTGCTCTTCAGGAAGCTGAGTAAAAATAATAGGTTAAGTCTTAATTTCCTTTGGTTTAGTGGGTCGTGGTAATGCAATCACAGCAGTGGGCAGAGAAAGGGAGATGTTCAGGGATTTCCTGTCTGCCACCAAATAAAGACAAACATTTCAACTGAGTATAAAAAAGATAGGTGAACACATGCCAGTATATTTAAGCTTCTAGAAAACCTTTTGAAGCTCAGCAACTTGCTTTTTCAAAAGGCATTTTTGTTTGTTTTTGTTTTTCATTTGGAAGATACCTTCTGTTCTACAATAGTGCAGGTTCTCAGTGTCCCCAAGGCCTGCACTGGGACTGTGGAACATGCAACTTTGCCATATTGTTTGCCAAATTCATATTCTCCACCTCAAAACATCCATTCAAGTAACTGAGCTCATTGCCAAATAAAAGAGTAGAAGGCAGTCTAATTTTTCAGAACACTATTTAAATGGAGAATTTTTAAACTGCATGTAGCTCTTAAGAGCTGTAATTTAACAAGAGCAAATTTTCTAAACAAGATAAGCATCTCACTTCCTGGCAATGATTCATCTGGTTATATTTGAGGATGATATGCAGCTGCTATGATATAAGTTGCCTTAACTGTAGGGCAGTCGTGGCTGTTAAAACATGGAGCTACTTCCGAGCACTTGGTAACCAGCTACTGCCCCATGCTGGCAGGCCCGCCCACCGCCCCATCCACTGCCCTCTACACCTCCTCACCGGCTTCTAGGATCTTCTCTGTGCTATACCCCGTCTTTTCCTGATTGGCCGGCATGTGTGCCATCAAATCTTTTGGATATCCCCCTTTTCACAAATGTCCTGGGGACAATGATATTGAAAGAACCTGCTAGACTTTGGTTTCCACACTCTCTTTGTCAGCAGCATTGCTGGATGCACATAACTAAACTACCAGCTGGTAACAAATTCGAGAACCCAATGGAAGCCACATGTGGACATGCCAGCAGGGGCGGGAGGGAGGTGCTGGAGACACAGGACCCCAAAAACATAAACGGCAGCTCACACGTTGAGGGGCAGCTGGACTTTGGGAGCTGTGCCTTGCTGTTCAGCTGCTGAGGCAGGTCCGGCAGAGGAAGAGGAGTCCTGGAAACAGACAAGAGGAGATAGGAGTGAATTGGCAGGAGGCTCCTGCCCCAGGGAAGAGAAGGGCAAAGTCAGGCTGGAGTCCAGAGGCACCTGCTCTCCCCTCACCAGCCCCATCCTCTAGCCTCCAAAATTCTCAGGTTCCACTTGCCTGGGTTGTTTGTCAATAACATTTATATAAATATAAATATATTTATATAAATTTACTGAAGTTTGATTATATATTTATTATATATATATATATTGAAGTTTGATTTGCCAACATAAAATATGTGACCACCAAATCAACTCTGCAAGAAATATTAAGAGGGACCCTGTAAAAGAAAGAGGAAGCCCAAAGAAATAATCCACAAAAATGGGACTGAATAGGTATTACGATGACACTAAACTCCTCTTTCAATAGTTCCTCTGGATGTGAATGGAGTAGCACTTTTTCCCAGCCCATTGGAGGGAGCTTCGTGGCCACCGACGCCTGGCCCAAAGCAGCTTCCAGGTGCCCCTAGGAATGAACGGCTCAGAGAAGCATACTTTGGGCCTGGGTCTGGGTTGGTCAGCATCACACTGTGCTTGACATAGAAGAAGGCAATGTAGGGAGACCCATTTTTCTTTTTGGAACTTGCATTAATTATTCTTGTGTTTGTCAAAGAAGACAAACCAGGGAGGACTCCCGGCTCCCTCGACTTCAAAGGGCATGGATCCTACTGTCCTGCAGACGTCCTGCAGACCCAGACAAAACCTTTCATGTGACAAAGCACAAGATCATTTAAAGGCTGACCTCCCAGGAGCTGGAGATTAACCCCGAAGGAAAACTGGTCCTTTGGCAGTGACAGAGGGGCACGTGTCGGCCGAGCAAGCATCCCCTGCAGCGGACCTGAGGGGCTCATGGCTAAGTGTTCACTATACAGGGAGATGGCTGGAGGGGGTCTACTTTGAGCTGCTCCCCACTAAAGCCTGTGGAGCATGTTAAATCGGCCAAGGGAAGTAGTCACAGGCCAGGTGGAGGGATCTGGGCCACAGGATGATCTGGTGAGAACCCTGTAGCCCCAGCCCCTCACCCCCTGCCTGTCCATCCTGTCCCCACACTCCCCAGGGCAACATCCTTCTTCCTGGGTGAGGTAGTAGATGCCACAATGAGTTGAACTGCATCCCCCAAAAGAAACGGCCAAGTTGTAGCCCCCGTTACCTGTGAAGGTGACCTTGTTTGGAATGAGTCTTTGCAGATATAGCATAAAGTAGGGATCCTGAGATGAGATCATCTGATGACGGTGGGCCCTAATTCTGGTGACGTGTGTCCTTGTACGAGTATGGGACGGAACAGAGACACTCATCGGGGAGAAATGCCATGTGAAGACAGAGGCTGACAGGAGTGATGCAGGGATTGGGCAGCCAGCAGCTGGGAGAGAGCCTCCTTCGGCCTCTGGAAGCAGCCAATCCTGCCAATATCCTGATTTCAGACTTCTGACCTAAGACCTGATAGAGAGTAACTTCCCAGTGCTTTGAGTCACGCAGCGTGTGGTACGGTTACAGCAGCCCCTGGACGCTGATATAGATGGGTATGCCTGGCCGTGTCTGCAGGACGGTGGGATCCATGCCCTTCAAAGTCAAGGGAGTCGGGGGTCCTCCCTTCCTCCCTTTTAGGCTCCCCAGCAAGAGACAGGGAAGGGATCCTGGAGGAAACTGGATCCAGATGACCAGGGTGCCAGGCAGGCTCAGGAAGACCTCACGGGAGCCGCTAGTGCCTTGGTAGAGGCAGGTGGGGAAGCAGGCAGCAGGGCACTGTGGCTCCGACTGGCAGAGGTGGGCATGTCACTACGTGTGGTCCTCGGGTGGGGAAGGCCAGTGGAAGCAGAAACCACAAGGACGGGATGAGACATGTACCTGGCATAGACCCCGGGACAACTAACTGTACGACTCAAGTGCCCGTCCTGTCGCTTTCCTGCTTGTGTGGAGGGGCGAGGGGGAGTTTCTCCTTAGCTCACTGACCAGTCCTGACCTTGCTCAGCCCATGAGCTCTACGTGCTCCCCGTGGCCTAGGCAGCCAGACCAGGAAGGTGCCAGAGACCACAGCACACCTACATCTCTAAGAAGCTTCTACTTCTCGTCTGGATGACAGGGTCCCTGGCAGAATGGAACATGCAAGCAGGAGCGAGACTTCCCTTGCGTCTCCCAGGCAACTTCAAGTCTCAAAGGAACTAGACTCTTGTGAGCGAGAACTTTGATTTTCAAAGGATTGTGTCCCCGTAGCTGGTGCACAGACGCTGGATTTCCAGAGTGCTGTGTAGGAGGGGCTGAACGGAGAGAAAGTTCTTGCTTACTCATCACCCCGGCCCTCCCCCAGAAGGAGATGGAGACCAACAAGGGCTCAGGACTGTTTCCTTTCGGGACAGTTGCCAGTGTAGTTCACCACAGCTGGCCAGGGACCATCGTCCACAGAGGGCCCTCCACGGGTGTGCCCCCAGGCTCCAGGTCCCCCAGGTATGGAGGACCTGCAGCCCTCAGTGTGTAGCCACGGGAGAAAGGTTAGGGTCCCTCGTTTGGTCACAGTGGCGGGCGTGGGCAGGGGTGGCACCACACCAGACATGGCCAGCAGGTGTTGGCGAGCACCTCGGGCATGGAGCTCATCAGCTGAGCATGATCACAACCAGTGAGCTCATGGGAAATGCCCTGCCTATGTACGGGGCAGGACAGCATGTGCCAGCCAGGTGGAGGGCTGTGGGGCCTGGAGGGCATGGCCTGGGCTAGCTGACCTCTGCTGGCCCCGACTGTCAGGACCCTGACCCCCATACGGGGCTCATGCTGGGGGGACAAGCTTTGTCCATGTCACAGCACAGGCAGGGCCGTGGAACACAGCGCCTGGGGGCAGGCCAGACAGGACCTCTGTGAGCAGCAGGCCTGTAGGGTGCAGGGGCAAGGGCCGGGCGGGCGAGGGAGGAGCAGAGAGGCCTGCCTTCCTGGCAAAGGCTGCGAGAGGTGAGCCGAGGCTTGTGGACAGAGCTCAGTTCTGCACATGGAGGGAGGGGTTGGGGGTCGAACCCAGTGACCCAGCCGTTTTCTGCTGGGAATGAGCCCCAAAACATCTGAACAAGGCAAAGGATCTCACAGCAGAGCTTTTTATAATAGAAGATACCTGAACTACTGAACCAGCCCACATGTGCCTGGTAGAGGGCCTGGTGGCAGATGATGGCACAGGCCCCACACAACCACAATAGAGTGGACATATGAGGTCCATCAAAAGATGCATATATTTCCATGGGGAAAAAAAATGGTCTAGAAATGTACATATATCGAATGATAACACTGGTAATTATAATGGTAGTTGGGGTTTGGGATAATTTTTTTTAAGTCTGTACAAGTTTTTCATCATTTTATTTTATTTTATTTCTTTTTTTTTTTAAGAGAGAGAAAGAGATGAGCAGAAGGAGAGGGAGAGAGAATCTCAAGCAGATGCAATGTGGGGCTCAATCTCATGACCCTGAGATCATGACCTGAGCCCAAACCAAGGTCAGATATTTAACTGACTGAGCCACCCAGTACAGAACCCCCCCTTTTAAAAGTCTTTCATCATTTTAATAATAACAAGTGACTATAGTTTTCTGATACATTTCCAAAGTCATATAAAAAGAATAACAGGGGGGCAGCCCGGGTGGCTCAGCAGTTTAGCGCCACCTTCGGCCCAGGGCCTGATCCTAGAGACCTGGGATCGAGTCCCACATCGGGCTCCCTGCATGGAGCCTGCTTCCCTCTGCCTGTGTCTCTGCCTCTCTCTCTCTCTCTCTTTGTGTCTCTCATGAATAAATAATAAAATCTTAAAAAAAAGAGTAACAGGGCTCAATTATTTGAGGTCTGTTTTAAGGTCACACTCTGGTTGACAGTGATTCCATGCTTCCCTGGTTTCTACATATGCCATCTTTGTGGTGATGCCAGGAGGGGACAAGAGAGGACCCTGGGGATGACTCTTCAGATCAGCCAGTGGGCGACTATTGGCAGCAGCACGTGGGCATCGGCAATCTGCTGGCCAGCAGGTGTCACGGAGACACATGGAGCCCAACCCATAACCCTGCTTTCTTCAACATTCCTCCTGTCTGAATAAACTCTCCTGAATCAGGCAACTAGTCCAAACCAGCCCTGCACATGCAAAGCACCGCTGACCCAATGTGGGAAGGTTCTGAGTCTCACTGCCTATAAATAAGGCAGCCTGTCAGAGGTCTCCTCTCCCCAGTGTCCTCAAGCCACTCAAGCCAAAAATCCAGCCGGGAGCAACGATGTATGTGGCCAGGAGAGACAGAGCAGACAGATTTCCATCTGCCAGGCCTGGGCCGGTGGGGAGGCTGGGCCCACAGGCTGGCACTAGGGCTCCAGGCCCCATCTTTGCCGGCAACTGCCGACTCCCGTGGACCCAACACAAGACACTCCATGCAGCCAAGGGTCAGGAAGCTTGGGAGGACCGGGCTGCCCAGGCACATGGAGCCACCTCAGACATGGCTGTGCACCTAAATAAAACCAGTGGGAGGGGCCTTCTGACAGCTTTGCAGGAGCCCTGGCCTTCTGCTGACACTTGATATGTCTATGCTATAAAGCAAATATGTGGGATTGCACAGCAAACCATTACTTAGAGCTGGAATGCAGAGACGTCACACTTGTGAAAGTGCTTTTTCTCAAAGGTCAGATGGATAAGGTGGGACTGATGCTTAGCACAGTGTGTGCATCTGACTCGCTCCTCCAGGCAGGGCAGAGCCCAAGGCAAAAGCCTCCCAGGATGTCTGCTGAGGACTGGCTACACCAGGCAGGGCTCTATCCTCAGGGACAGAAAAAACAAAGTGTGACCTTCTGATGGAGATGGGTTTTCAATCCATCCTGCTCTGCATCAGATCTTCGTTTTTGTTACTATTAGTAGGAGGTGATGAGAAATGTTGCTGGTGCCAGCGGGCGGACGAGGTAACTCCACTGACAGCAGAGCTGTTGACGACAGAGGAATGCAGGCTCAGCTGAGCAGAGCATAA